CTCCTCACTGCCTCACTGGCAAAGCATGAGATATTGAACAGTCCTTGATTGGGGTAAGCACTACTGAGCAGCAACCAAAACAGGGGTGCGTTATCAACATTGTTACCAGGCTAAAGTTAAAAAACACAGCACTGCACCAGCTACTAGGAAGAAAATTAACCCTATTCTAACTGAAACCAGGACAGTCAGTGTGACAAACTATTCCAGGTAGGACCAGGACAAAACACAGATCAGGCTACTCAATTAGTTTTGACTGAAGTCTAATAGCTAACTTGCTTGAAAACAGTATACTAGATGTATACTGCCTTTATGTGTGTGGACGCAGGACACAGCTATTTTCAGAGAAACCTGATTTCACCCTCCTTCAGCCTTCTCCCACCTTGGTGCTTCAGGCATGTTGATGTGACCGCAGAGAAAGGTACTTCTAGCCTGACAGACAGAAAGATACTTCTAGTCTGTCTGTGCTAAAGCTGCTCAAGCGTCAGAGTCCATCTTAAATACTGGTAACGATTTCATTATTTCCATCACTTCTCTTTTTTTTCTGATGCCCCTGCATATTTTACTTTTTTCTGCTTACTGAATAAGTTCAGTGTCTAAGTCAGATTTAAAATTAGGAGGAATAAAAAAAAAAAAAAAGTTGGTATAAATCTTAGCAGAGTTTAGCAGCTTACAACACCTGCATGTTGCCAGAATTACCATCAGTGTTACAGACATATCTACAGGACTCTGCAAAAGGCTTAGAGCTCTTCACAGTCACTTACGCATTATGGTTCTCATGATGCTTTAGAAATAAAAAGTATCTTTCAATCTCTTGATCAGGACTCCAAAGTTTTTAATGCAGGTTGCTGGAAGACTGCATTGACTTGAAGCTGTAAGTTCTGTGAACCTTAATTTTTAAGTGTACTTCATGCAGAACACCAGAAATTAAATTTTAACTAGTATTTATGAAGAGAGAGTAAATTCAAGACTCAACACTGACATAATTAAGACAGATGAATAGGGTTTTTTGTAGGTCCCTTTGAAACCTGTAAATGAACTTGTCCACTCTTAGAGTATTGCCTTGCTAAAATATATGGCTTTTATTAAAGACAAATTCCGATGCATATACTTTTATCGCCCATAGGTCCACAGAAAGAGATTGATAGATGAAAATATATACTATCTCCATAAAATCCTGCTTTAATAACATTGAACCATTAAATGGAACATTTTTATTAAATCTTTAAATGTGAAGCATTTGTGAAGATCACCCAAGTAAGAACTTATTAAAGGTATTAATACAATGGTTATATTATTGCAATAAACCGAGAGAACTAAAAAATTTGTCCAATTTGTTCTGTATCGAGACTAATGGGCTAAGTTGCTAACACAAGAGTTACAGCAGGATAAATGGTTGTAATCACATGATGCCACTGAAACATTTTTAGTCAATGGAAAGTATATGACACAAATTTTTGCATTTTAGCTTTCTTTTTCTTCTTCTCTGATCAACGCTGTGACACTCGTAACATGTCCTGCACAGTATCAGTTTTGCTCTTTACTCTCTTCCAATTTTACCTGCGATGCATTCACTGCTCAGAGTGCAATGTGGTATGAAATACAGATACTGATTCACCACAGCTTTAGTGGTGACATGTTCTTTTTTCAGAAGAGGTACAGAAGGTAAGGCAATGCAGATGCAGGAGGTGGTGGATCGTTGGTACTGAAGGTGAATTTCCACATAGAGAACCTTGTTCCTCCATTACTGCTTCCACATATCCTCTGCTATGCTGGGCAGGTTTGAGACCCTGAGCTTGGACCTTCCTACAGAAACCAATTTTCTTTGTGCTCTCTGTCGCTCTGATGATGAACACAAAATTGATGTTTCAGTGAACTAAACTTTTGAGTAACATGGTATCTGTCCAGATGTGTCCCTAACTTTTTGTAATAAACTGGATTTTTTTTAAATCCTCTTCAATAGGTCTAAGCAAGACTGAACAGTCATACAGGCATACATATATACTTGTCTTGGAGGTTCTTGGCCCCATTGCCATGATGCTTTTGCCAAATGCTCCAGCTGAGCATTCCTGGGTGTACAACAGGATAACACAGTTTTTCTCTAATGGTCAAAAGCCTTATAGGGTTCCTTGGGCTCACTGGGAAAAAATATGTATGAAATAAGTGTGCTTTCTTAATTTTTTTTTCTTAGCTGCCATGAATTACAGGCAGCAAGGAACCAATCTGGGAGGGATGGTAACTTGGGCTTGCGAAGTATTTCCAGATTTGCATGAACTGAAAGGGTTCAGTGAATCTACTACTTCTCGGGCATTAAATGCAAAAAATAATTTATTTCTCAGGAAAAAAAAAAAAGGCCTGATGTCAAATATGCTACAAGGTAAACACTGAGGTTAACATTTAGGGTTTTTTTTGTTTCTTGCTCCTTTTCTTAAGAACATTCTAGATTGATTAAAACCAAAGGCTGAAAGAAAATTTTCTCCTCTATCTCTAAAAATATTAAAAAAAAAAAGAATCATGGATAATTTGGATTTCTGGTAACTTTGCATCCTGTGAGTCCTAGGATTTTGCCTAGTTTCACATATCTGGTCCAAACAATTTTAAGGAGTCTTGTGTAACTAATGGAGGTCCCAGAAGCCTGCCTGCAGCACTTTGGCATAGCAGCACTATGCAGAGACCCTGAATTTTGAATCACCATGGTGGTGCCTGCTCTCTCTGCAGCACTCTTGACCTGTGCTTGCTGTCCTGACAACCACAAGCTCATGTGTAGGTCTTGGTGGTGGTATCTTCCTCCCAGAACACTTGTGGGCCTCAGGGGTAATCCTCTGTGCCTAGAGAGATGACTTGCTACTGTGGAATGGGAGTAAGAGGAATGGAGAACTCTCTTAATGAGTGACATGTCCTGGTTAGTGTTGGCTGTGGAATGAGAAACCTTTTCTCCTCTCTATTAGAGCTTTCTTTTCTTTTCCTGCACCAGCTGTGTCTTTCCCTCACTCCCATAGCCTGTACCGATTTCAGTCTCAGTGTCCGTTTTGCCCTTGGTAGCTTGTTTGGCATCTGCTTCCAGACTTTTATTTCATGTTTCTTGTTCGATCAGCTTGACTTGGTGTCTGTGGACCTGCATCGTTGGTGTATTACAACCAGAATCTTACACTCCAGGCAAGAGTGTGCTGTTGTTGAAATCCACCTTCTTGAGGCTTGCAACCAGATGTGACCCTGTACAGCAGATTCAGTTACATGTTTTTATCTGTTCCTTCCTGGCCTTCATGCTGTCTTCCTTGGAGAAAGCCAGCCCAAGGCTTGTCCTGCAAATATAGGTTATGGTGAACAGATGGGAACTGTATCACACTTGCTTTCCAACAAATATGTTAAAGGCAGATGTTTTCTTCTATGAATCCACCTTTGATAAAACAAACACACAGTATGACGTATAGAGTAGTCCTGAACGTAGAACATGTTGCTGGGGGAGACAACTATTATATGTCTTCTATGTGCAGTAAAAACATGCAGGTTTTGGTGGTTTTTTTTGTTTGTTTGTTTTTTGGGGGGGGTGGTGGTGTTGTTTCTTGTTGGGGGTTTTTTGTTGTTTTTTCTTTGCTTGTTTTTGCTTTTCTTTCTTTTTTTTCAGTGCATTGCTTACTACAAGTACATTCAGACTGAATTGGGAGGATAAGGGTCAAAGATGACTAGTTAGAATGATTGCGCTGGGGAAAATACAACTTGGTTATCTGAGTAAACGTATTTGTAAAATATCTCAGAGAAAATGAATAAACTTTATCGCTTAAAAATTCTCAAAAACACAAGTGTTTTTGAAACAATATGATGTCCAATCCTGAAAGTTAACATAATTACAAATGGCAACTTATATATTGACTTGGACTTCCAATATTCGGGAGAGAGAGTAAGGGAAAATGCTCAATCTCCAATTCCTTGAGACTGAATATTGTACTAGTACATTATATAAGGTATATTAATATATCAGGCCAGAGCTGTGAGGGAGGTCAGACTTACAGTTCTATTACTGCTCGTTATTTTAGCAGTTACCTACCTCCAGTGACCTCTGTAACAGTCAAACAATATTTCCAGGTATGTCTTTCAAGAGTAGGAACAAAATGATATTTCACTTTCATGCTGCAATGAGAAAAAATGCTAGTAACTGAGTTGTGGTGGTGTCCTGGGTTTAGCAGTAGCAGTAATTTTTTCTCCTTCTTAGTAGCTGGTGCAGCACTGTGTTTTTGACTTTCAGCCTGGGAGCAGCGCTGATAACACCGATGTTTTTAGTTACTGCTCAGATGTTTAGACTGACCAAGTACTTTGTAAGCCTCAGGCTCTGCCAGGAAGGAGGGGAAGCTGGGAGGAAGCAGAGACAGGACACCTGACCGAAACTGACCAAAGAGGTATTCCATACCACAGCATGTCATGGCCGGGATGTAACTAGGAGTTACCAGGAAGGGCACTCTCTCTGCTCAGTCGAGCTCGTTTCGGCAGATGGTATCGTATTCTCTTCCCTTGTTATTTCCTTTATCATTATTATTATTGGTAGTAGCAGCAGTGATTTGTGTTGTACCCTAGTTACTGGACTGCTCTTATCTCAACCGGTGGGAGTTACATTCTTTCAATTCTCCTCCCCATGGGGGGGGGGGGGGGGGGGGAGGGGAGCGGGGAAGGGAAGAAAGAGGGGAGGAGAGAGAAACTGTGTGGCTGGCTTGCTGACAGGGGCTTAAACCACGACAGTTGTTTTTGGCACCCAACATGGGGCACAAAGGGTTGAGATAACGACAGATCTGACCGGATTAATAGTCACTTATCACAATGCTGATTTATTGGCTCTCAAAGTTGTTTCTCTTGATCTCACAGTTTCAGAATGTTGTACCTTACTTAGAGCTGTACGGCCGGTGTTTGCTGTGTTAGTGTTTATCAGGTGTGGGCCTTGGGCTAAGGTTCTTGTCTCACTGTACTCTATGGCAATTACTTGTAATACGGGCGGGCTCCAGCAGCAGGGTGGGATGGACGTGGCTGTGGACTTGTACCTGGCCATCCCGCTGCTCTTCGCTGTCCTGGCCCTCATCCTCACCTCCGTCTTTGTGAGGCCTCAGGGAGCCGAAGAGGTGTGGTCGTGGGAGCTGGTGGCAGCAGAAGCAGCCCGGGAGAGCAGCCCTGGGGACCAAGCAGCGGTGGGAGCGGGGCTGGAGCCTGGCAGGGAGCGGCTGCCGGTGGAGGAGGTCGGGGCTGCTGAGCAGTGGGAGGAGGCTGTGGAGAAGCAGAGTCCCGATGCCAAGCCCAGCCCCGCGGCAGCCGAGAACATCCCCCAGCAGCCTCCCACCGAGCCCCACGAGCCCGAGCCCCAGGAGGATGTGGAAAGCAAGATACCACCTTCGGGAGCCTCAGTTGGGTCCAGCCTCGGGCACCTGGAACAAGTGGAGGATGCAGGAGACCACGCAGCATTTCCCACCAAGGCAGAGGAGGAAGATCTGGACTCAGGAAAAGAGAAGCTGGTGGTGGGAGAGCCGGCAAGCACAGCAGCTGCACCAGCCCCAGTGACAAGTACAGCAGCATCAACTGAGAGTTCTGAAGGTTTTGAATGGCCTTTGAGTAACTTTGGGACCTGCCTACTGATTGTAATGGGGATCAGCATGTTGGCACACATACAGACTGTGTTCTACCCACAACCATTTTGTGTGATCTCGAAATTTAAGCAGAGTCGGGTTTGGGTCTTGTCTAGGGTTAGACTACAATATAGGAGGACCAGGAGATTTTCCCCATGGCTGGACAGTCATGAGTTGCAGGGTGTGTGGGACAGTATGAGCAAGTATCTAGGCCAGTGGGCCCCTCCAGTGCTTTGGAAGCGTTGCAGATGGAAGGCAGCTGTATGGAATCCCCAGTGAGAAGTTGCAGACTGCTGAAGGGGAGGTCGAATTACTTTGAGCCTGGTGGGCCCTTGACACTTAAGGCCATCAGGGCAGAGATGCAACATACAGATGGACTCATGATCGAGGGGTGAACTTAACAATGGACACTATTTCCCAGGTTATTCACAAGTGTGAACACTGCACACAGCCTCTCCTGCCCTGAAAGACTGTTACAAAAGATGGAACGCAACATCATTGACCAAACGGACTCAGCAGGTTTATAGGGATCGGTCCATGCATTAAGGAATGATCTCTTTATCTGTGTGTGTATGTGGATGTATATATGTAAAAGTGATGGTATACTGAAAATGTGGGATCTGAGCATGACGTGAATGGTATGGAATAATGGTTGGATACTGTCCTGGGTTCAGCAATAGCAGTCATTTTTTCTTCTTCTTAGTAGCTGGTGCAGCACTGTGTTTTTGACTTTCAGCCTAGGAACAGCGCTGATAACACCGATGTTTTTAGTTACTGCTCAGATGTTTAGACTGACCAAGGACTTTGTCAGCCTCAGGCTCTGCCAGGGAGGAGGGGAAGCTGGGAGGAAGCAGAGACAGGACACCTGACCCAAACTAGCCAAAGAAGTATTCCATACCACAGCATGTCATGCCCACTATATAAACTGGGGGCAGTTACCCGGAAGGGCTAGTTCAGTGCTGGGTGTGGCCAGTTACTGGTCAGCGGGTGTTGAGGTGTTGTATTTTCTTCCCTTGTTATTTCCTTTATCATTATTATTATTGGTGGCAGCAGTAGTGATTTCTGTTATATCTTAGTTTCTAAATTGTTCTTATCTCAACCCGTGCGAATTTAATTCCCCTTTCGATTCTCCTCCCCATCCCTCTGGGGGGGGTTGGAAGGGAAGAAAGAGTTGGGGGGGGGAAGAGAGAAACTGTGTGGCTGGCTTTCTGACAGGGCTTAAAACATGGCAGTTCGCAAAACACCCATTAATACTGTTTGTCAGCCTTTTAGAGGCTGTAAACCTTATCTCTGTTAGAAATCCCATAGCTATAGAATAGTTCTTGGTGGTGATACACCAAATCTCCTGGTGTACCTACCAATTCATGAGCCATGCATGTCTTATTTTACTGAATTTAATAAAAAAAAGGGAAAAGTTACAAATATTTATGGTCTATAGATGTATTCCTAGGTAAGACACTGCTGTTCTTGATGAGTCATAACAGGACCAGACCAGTGACTTAAAGGAAAAAGGGTACCCAATAGCCAGTTGAGGCCACCAGGGGTTTTCCTGACGCTTCCAGTGTGGGACATTCCTGGGAGAAGGGCTCCATTATCCACTTGCTATTGCCACCCATGGCAAGTTTTCACAGACAGTTGGTGACTTTGTCCTCCCACATTTCTCCTCAATCCTTATAATCTCCATCTTGTAGATGTATGTAATTACTCCTTGTGGAAGGACTAATACTTCTCTGGATCTTATGCATTATCAAACAATATTCACATTTTCTCTACCTGTTTTTATTTGAGGTCCCCTCTTGTGAAGGATCCTAAGAAGACCCTTGTCTACCTAGCATGGCAAGCACTCTGCAGCTGTGGCATGTGGCTGAAACACATCCAAGCTCTTCACCAGAGTAATTTCAGGTGCTGTGTCTGGGGCGTATTCTGTGCCATGAGCCTCCTGCATAACTCTGGACCAAGAGTTCCTCAGTTTTGAGCTCAGAGCTTTGTCCTTGACAATGTTCTGTGTTGGTTTTAGGTTGCAGGGCTCAGTCAGTGTCTGCTCTTCTTCTTCTCAAATTTGCAGACGCTGCTATATAGATGAACTCACTGTGCTGAGCATGACTGACCTCAGCTTCTCCTTGTCAGCACCTTATCTCCTGCCTCTGCTCCCACAGAAGCCCACAGCTTGCCCCACATCTGCCCTCCAACTTAAGACTTGAGCTATGCTACTGCTGATGTCCTACACAGAGGACAATTCTTAGGTCTGATGAATGCTCAGTTCCCTCCCTGTGCTTGTTCCCTCCCTGTGCTTGTTCCCTCCCTGTGCTGAATCAGAAGAGAAAAATCTCTTGCTTTTCTGCTGTGGAGGACTGTGTCCAGGTAAGGATTCCTTCCACAGCAGACCCATCACTACTCCTTGTCTACATTCTTGCAAAAAGGTCACAGACTTAACAGACTTCTTATCTGTGCATGAAACAAACATGGGAATGCCAAAGTGGTGTGATGATCAGAAGCTGGGAATTGGGTGAAATGTCCGCCAAAACCAAGAAAAGTTTGAATACTTAACTCCCCCCTCCTATGACATATACAGAAGCATTCTGGGGAAAGGTGACCTCCAGGCACTCCCAATCTTGCTGTTGTAGCAGAAGGATATCTAGAGTAGACATAGTGGAAGGTCAGCCTGTAGATTTGATGTCTTAACTAGAGTTGGTACCTGAATGTATAAATGCCCAAGCCATATTCCAATGACTGGAAGCAGTTAAGGGATGCTGCATGCAGTTCAATGTCTTCCAATCTGTTTTGCTTTTTAGATTAAGTCCATATCCTAGGACTGTGAAGTAACCAACTTGTAATCCCTTTTCATGTACATATAATGATAGATCTTCAGTACAGACGCTCATGTTGATCTTTGTTGTAGCAGAGTGACACAGTATAAAAAGAGGTCTTCTCAAGCAAAGGTTTTCATGGAATAATAATAAGTGGGACTGGAAACAAAGATGCCCTCATGAGGTCACCTAGTCAATATTCTGCCCCAGTTATACCTAAATGATTCCTGACAGATGTTTGTCTAGCTCTTATTTTTCTTATCCCAGCATGCTTTTATTCTCTGGCTGAACTTATTCTGTTAAGAATCAGGCAGGCACTATCAAGTCCCATAAAAGGTTAAAAGTTCTCTTTGAATAAGAGGCAGTGCATTGTAAGACAAATTATGTACAGCAGAAAAGGGAGAACTTCAGAAGAGAAAAGATCTGAACTAGAAACTGCTGTCATGACTAAAAGGTCTTTAAAATTAAACAGATAAACATTACACCATATACTGAGGTTTTTAAAAATCCTTAATAAAACAAATCCAAAATTAAAAAAAAAAAAATTATACTCCAGATGATGTTAATAATGTGTACCATGTCCTATACAAATCTCACAGGAATTATTAAATGAAACTCTTGGCTGAAAGACACCATACAAATGCACAGTATTACTGCTAGAAAGAACTGTATAGAAAAGTTTTTCGAATTATGTTGTTATAAGTGTTTTAATGAGCACGCTTACTTCTTCGTATCTGACTAGCTTTTGCATTCCTCACAAACACTATGTTTCCCACAAATCCAGAAATCCTTTTCTGGGTGCTGACTGAAGCCTGGGAAACATTTAGATCTACAGCATCCACTGCAAAGCAACACTAGAGCTATGCAGGTTCTCTGGAATTATATATTTTTGTCACAAAATCCCTTGCCTGTGATGCATTAAGGGTCAACCAGAAAGTGCATTGGACTTGCAGAAATTGCAGGCATGCTGCAGAGGGCACTATTTACCAAAAAAAAAAAAAATATGAAGTACATCTCCAATTTTTTATCCCCCAGGTCCACAGATCTGGGAATGCCTGCTCTACGAGTTTTCTCAGGATAATGTATGTCCACTATTTTCTTTTTTTTTTCCACGAAAAACAATATTTACTAAGATGATATTATCTGACACAATATTACATCTGAGACAGGCAGTTTTTATACTTTAAATTTATTCTGGTCTGCAATAAATTGCTGTGAAATGAAATAAAGTCAAGATGTAATCTCACAGAGACTAACATTATACTGTAGCTTTCCACAAAAAAAACCAACACTAATAAAATGAGTGAACAAGATAAGATGGTCAAGATCACTGTTTTAATGTTCTCAGAAAAGATGAGCATATCACAACCTGCATGTACACAAGGTATTTTGAATGTTAATTTAAATGCAGCCATCCTTTCTGGTAACAATCTACATATTGTAAACTCCATTATGGGTGCTACACAATAAACAAATTCAGTAATTTCATGGGAATTAGGAGGGAGGTGGGAAGATAATCAGGTAAGAGAATGTGTTGTAAGACATGGAATTCCCAATATCAGTATATCACAGTATTCTAGTCAGACCCCCGCTGCATATTTTAACACAGTAGGTAGCTTTAAAAATTATTTATGAGACTTGCAGAACACTTAGTATACCAAAGAATGGACAAATCATTTCTGCTCAGTATATACTTACGCTAAATTCTCACTGGTATATCTCACAAGCTTAAGATAAACTTCTTCTTTTTTTGTCTGTCTGAGGAAAGCAATACAAATGTGATAGCAACAAGTGTCGGGCGTTTAGTCGCTCAGCACCAATGCACTTCCCCAGGGCTGGGAAAGTTTCCTCTTTTGGCTCTACAGCTATGCAACACGATGAAAGCTACCCCATTTTGTCAGCAGGAATTTTCCAGCAGCTTTTTGGTGGGGTTTTTTTTGATTGAATTAAAACTGGGGAAACATGCAAACAGATGAGTTTTATGAGTGTTAGTTTGAAAGGAACTCATATCTCCAAATCAGGTTACATTGGTCAGATCTTTAAGTGTTGTTAATAAACTCTGAGAATGAAGTTCTAATGTAGCCTGGAGACTGTAGCAGACTCTCTGTCTTGGTACTCCTGCCTCCAGCTCCGAGGCAA